GAGGAGGAAATCCAAACTGTGGAATCTGTAACAACAAAATTTAAACAGAAAGTATTCGTAAAGATGTAATAAATTAACAAGMATACTGGGAATTAAACGCGACTCACATCTTGCCCAACGGGACCATTTGTAAAGGGAGGAATGTTCTGCAGTATCTGAAGAAAATAATACCTATTTAGTTCTGATCCAACATATTTACAGCTTTGCAAACATGCAGAAAAGRATGTCAAAGTTACCTTTTGCTGACTGAAATCATAGGGATAGAACTACAAACAGAGAAAAAAAATTAAACACAGAATATAAATTGTATTGCACCAAATCTACAACAGTAGTAAATGAACCCTTACAACTTCCACACTCTGTCTGCCTGGTGGCTGAGGGATTGAGTACTTGATGAAACCAAAGGATGGGAAGGTCTGCTCAAAGATAAGTCAATAAAATACAGTAAAGAAATTAGATAAAAATTTGCATAAAAATCTAAAACATTTATGTATTTATTTACCTGTCCTTGGTTTGCTCCAGCTGCACCACCAACAATTCTGTGTGGATAAATCTTAGAAAAACAAAAAAGGTTAAGAAGATTGACTCAATACGGGGCAAATTTCATAAAAGCTACTTTTAGGTTGGCTGAAAACATGGATGCGCTGTTTCATAAAGCGAGACTTACAAACTCCACACTGTAGGCTCCTGGAAGTCCAGGTTGTGGGAAACCGGCTGTGAAGGGAGTTTTCATCTGAAGAAAAAATTGAAAGAAAAAGTGAAACTGTTTTCTGCAACATTTTAGCTAATATTAGAAAAAAACATGAAAAAGTGCTCAGTATATGATTAGTGTTGTTACCTGAGTAGGTGATGGCTGCTGTCTGAAACCTGTGTAATTCGGCAGGTACTGATACTGAACACAAAAACACAAATATTTGAATCAATCAAAACAGAAAAAGATAAACTAAAATCTTCTTATTTATCTCATCAGTTACTTACTGGTAGAGCACAGGCTGTGCCAGCCAAACACAAGCACAAGATGGCCACCTTCATTTTTGAGCTGGAAGATAACATTCACTGTTACATCTTCTAAAACAGAAATAAGTCGCACCAGATGGATGCTAAAGGACAAGAATGCATTAACTCACCTTCTACGATACTACAAAACACCAGAGACGATAAAACGTTGAACTCCAATGAGATGATGCCGACTGACCACTTCTTATCAAGCACCTGGTTGCTGTAACTTTTATAGGGTTGCCCGCCTACCAAACAGTTAATTATGGTCAGAAGGAGTGAAGTCACTCGATGAGGGAGTACAAGTGCAGGTATGTGGTCCAAAGCTTTACTTAATGACCAGTGGTCAAATCCACCATTCTGAGTAATAGCAGAGTAAGTTTGATTACACTGTCTGGAGCAGAGCACCTTCACTCCGCTCACCTCTCAATTCTGCCCTTATTACAGGTCTGCAGACAGGTTTCTATATATCAACTTTATTCCACGACGTAGAGAAGTTTAATTAAAAATCACACGTACAACAAACACGTGGCTCAGCAGGTGGAGTAGGTGATCCTCAAATCAGCGTATTTGCTATTTATGCCAAAGCCTCTGCTGAATATGGATCTGACCTTTTTCATGTTGTTATTRTTGTAGAAAAAACACAAGACGTTAGGTTAATGTAGTCAGTAAATTTATGTCGAAGCTATGAGGAAATATGAGGAAATAAGACAGGGATATAAAAATATCATATTTCACAGACCAGATTTTCTTTCTGATATAAATATAGCATTATCTGTAAACTGAAATTTCTTCAAACACGTGCGAAACAGAAAACAGTACTGCTTGTTGGTAATTTTCCGTTAGAGTCTGTTTCTCTTCTTACGTCACTGTTCGCCTTAAAAGAAAACAAACTCAGTCACCTGTGAAAATTATATGTAATCATCACATGTTTTTTTTTTCTTTATTTTTATTTTTTTTGGTCTGTGTGTATCCTGTTTGGCACCTGTTTCTGTTCAAATAGTGCTGGCTCAGACCGTGTTTAGTCATCATCATCATCATCATCATCATCATCACTGCTGAGTTTGAGAGCCTATCAGGAGAAAGAACAGTCTGCAAAAGGTTTTATGAGTTGATTTTTTTCTTCACACTTTAGCAAATTATTTATATATTTTAAACAGCTTCATGAATCAAAGTGAACCAGTTGATCACACTCTCATTTTAAGCTGAAAAGAAAATCTGCAGCAGTCTGAATGCACCATAACACTGTTTACTGTTGGCATTTTACGTTTTACCTTGCTTGTAATGCATAGCTGGAGGCGCAGGAGCTGCTGGGGCAACGGGAGCAGCTGCTGCAGGATCCAGCAGGTTGAACCCAAAAGGATAGGACTGTATCAGATTGAAAACATAAAATCAAATAAAATCCACAACTCTAAAACCAAATCTGAAAGCATTTACCACCTTCTCAGTTTTGCAGTTTAACTGGGGATCTCCATCTTCATGAATCTGCAGACCTTCTAGTAAAAACTCATCAAGATGAACACTGTTCACTAAAACACTTATTCATCTTTGTTTGTTCAGATTGCAGTGCACGTTTCAAATGATTTAGAATGTTTACAGCAAACTAAAAACTCACTGGAGTGTGTAATAAATAAGCTATAATGTGTCACTCACTTTTCTGCTTGAGAGCAGTAAATAAAAAAACAACCTCATTTATCATAGAAAGGAGTGATAACTGCATATAAAACGAGTTTTGACAAGATGAAAACAGAGGACAGCAGAGGAGCAAAGTTAAGTCTTACAACAACTTAGTTACAAATTACACTACAAGGATATTTACGAATTTTTGATTAATCTGTTTGAGTGTTTTTTTTTTCATTGTCCAATCAAGCGTTTACTTTATAACTCAGCTGAAGCATGATGTTAAATTATATGAATATGTGCTTGTATTTAAGAAGAAGAGGAAGTTTTCCTAAACATTTTGGCAGAGTTGTAAAGTAACTATGTACAAATACTTTGTTACTGTACTTAAGTAGAAACTTTGGTTATCTGTACTTTATTGTAATCACTATAATTATAATAATTATTATAATTATTATTTTAGTGTACTTTTTACTTTTACTCATTACATTTTTTCACAATTATCTGTACTTTCTACGCACTATATATATTTTAAAAAAGGTAAGAAGTAGAAAGCCGTTACTCCTGTTTTATTCCGATTTGTTATGACTTAAAAAAATACTATCCTGATAAATTGTGTCTCCTGGATAGAGTGAATTTAATTGTGGTTGGATGAGAAGTATAAATATATACCATTCTGACACCATATTAGCTTGTACACAACCCATCATAGCTGGACGCTGTTAGAATTTTTTTATTTTTTATTTATTTATTTTTTTGGAGAAATCATCTCCCAATAAATGTCATTTTGGAAAATCTAACTGCTCACTTTTACTCAGTACTTTTACTTTTAATACATAAGTAGATTTTGTGTCAGAAATTTACTTTTGATACTTAAGTACAAAAAATATCAGATACTTTAAGTTTTACTCAATATTTTTAGAGAAGACTAACTTTTACTAATGTATTTTTATGATAAGATACTTGTACTTTTACTCAAATTTCACTCTGGGTTACTTTATACAACACTGTATTTTGGCTAAAATTGCGCTAACTTTGCTAAACTTAGAAATATGTTGTATCCTTTGTGCAAACCAACAGATCAGTTTAATGGTTATTTACTTTAGCTAATATTGCTGCGTAGTAAAAGAAAAAAAGTACGCCTACATCAAGCCACAGTGTGATGAGCATGCACCTTGCAGTTATCAGTATGAAAACATTTTGCAGCTTCTGTCCAGAGGCTGTCAGACCTGACAGCTCCAAGCCTCACTGAGCTCACCTTGCTCTGCCTCAGGCTGCTTTCTCTCCACTCTGTTTCATTTTTTTAAAAYTTCACGACACAGACGTGTTTTTATCGGTCTTTTTATTCATTATTAGTGTTGCTGATGTTGTCAGTCCTGAAAGTTAAATATTATGACATAAATTAAAAAAATGTGTCTTATCTGCATGTCTTATTCTTTTAATTTAGGTGTTTGTGTCTTATTTTCAACCCGTGTGTTTTCCCAATCAGCTTGTCACACCTACTCTCACCTGTTCCAGTTTGTTCTCTCTCCAGGTGTTTGTGAGTGTGTTTACGTAGCTCTTTTTTTCTCCAGYTGATYRTTACACTGGCTCATGCCACGTCTCGGTCACCACTGGGTTTCTTCTTGGTGTTACCACCGCAAGTTTGTAGAAACTTTGTTTTTTGCATCCTCAAGTTCTCTGTGTCTGCCTGCAATCTGGGTTCATTCATCCACACAGACGGAACTTGGCACCTTTTATATTAAGATGGTAGGAAGTGAAGCAACCCCACATTAATTTAGTAACAACAAAAACTGTTCTGAATTTTATGTATTTCATATAAATGTATATTAAATAAACAGCAAGGATTTTTAGGTGCTTTGAGCAAGTTCAGTGCTATGCACCATTCTTACAAGTGGAGGCAACGTTTCCAGCAAATTATAACAATAATTGCTTTTTTTCAGCCATAAAAATCAAACAAAAAAAAACAATAATTGTTCACACTTGCAGCTCTAACAGATTACTTCCATTTGCAGAAGACAGCAGTTTTCCACAGTCAAAGCTCTAAATACCCTTGTGTTATCTTCCTGTTAAGCTCAGTGGGGAGGGAGGGGTGTGAAAGAACAGATATTTCCCTCAGGACTCAGAGGACACTAAAATCCCACAGCTAGAAGAGCAAATACCAGACTCACAACCCTATTGTTAACTGTCTGCTTGCTGCAGATTACTGACTTTTTATTGTCCCCCCGCCCCCAAGTAGGCTTGAATCATTGTGATTATGTGTTGTGTTTGCTCCCAAGTTACTCTAAGAATTAATATGCACTTCAAATGAATTCTTATTTCTAATTCAACTCAATCCCAAAACAAAGAAATAAAACATTTCAAGAAAAGATATCTGTGATGAACTATATTTTATTTAAAAACTCTAACATAATGAAACAACATACAGATGCTTTGCAATATCCTAAAAAACACTCCACTTACAATTTTCTTGTCTACATTTTGTAACAGTGTTGCGTTACATTTGCTCTYGGAGTAAAATGCGAGTTATCTTTCCAGTTTTAAACCAGGCGTCTTCGTGTTGGTTGTAGTTTAGACAAAGCAGGTGTTTGGATGGCTGCAGCCTGCGGCGCTGCTTTCTTCAGCTCTGCAGGGAAACTGTTAGCGTTTGGCTGTGAGCCAGAGCAAGCCAGCCCCTGTGATGGTGGGACTCCAGCTGCTGAGGCCACCGCGGTCCGGCCGGCAGTCTGCTGCTCTGGCTTTTTGAGTCCGGCTGCCTGGTTCTCAGGCTGAACGGCTCCTGCAGCTGCAGGCAGGTTAGCGAGCACAGAGGGCATGTACACACCAAACTGGTTCATTTTAGCTGCCGCCTGAAACAGAGAAGAACGATTTTTATCTTTAACAGAACAACTGGTTTGAATTTGCTAAGAGAGAAATACAATATTTGGGTGTCTTACCTGAAGTTCCTCTGAGCTAAGGCCGCCAAGTGAAGGGTTCTAGAAAAGACAGCACATGTCAAATAAAGTAGTGATGAAATTATCTTGATAATATCCAAATAGATTAATAATCCGTATTCACCATGGGCTGTTGTATCATGTACACAATTGGGGGATTCTGCAAATGAGAGTTTGTCATTATAATACAACGGTTTATTTTCTTTCAGTGTCATTGTTATGATAAATGCTCAGACCTGCTGCTGGACTTGCTGCTGTGGAGCTGCTGCAGGTCCAGCTACACCTACAGCCGTTTCTGCAGGTAACACTGGACTGTTTGGGAGCTGCTGGGTTGGAGTTTGAGGTGGAAACATTTCAGGAGCGGTCGGGAATCCATACGGGGAGAACTTATGAAACAGAAAAAAAATAATTTTTCAACTTTTGTCAATTTTTTAATCCTGCACTGAAGATAAAAATGAAAGTTTGCAACAAGAACTAAAAGTGTTGCAACAGGAATGGCACATATGGAAATAATGTTTCTTCTCATAAATTATGTCAACGATGACATGATTTGCTTTATGTCCCCCCCCTGCAGGAGTCTGTCTCAGTTTATGTCGGAAAGCTCATGAAAGAGGCAAAAACTTTTAATTTTACTGTTGAAAACTAAGATCACCCAGGAGCAGTCTTTCATGTTAGGATTTTTTTTTAACTACATGTACATGCAATGCTGTGTGGCTTGTGTGGGATCTAGCTGCAGACACAAAACATGTCTGATAATAATATCTTACCACCTGGTTGCTGTAGGGTGAGGGGAAAAATGGCACAATTCCATAAGCAGGATAAATCTGTAATAAAAATAAAATAAAATAAAATATAATAAGCTACAATCAATAAATGTAACCTTTACAGCTCAAAGTTAGAAAGCAGAAAAGCTTGACAAAAACTGAGTGTAATTTAACAAATTTTCTTTTATTTCCTACCATAGGCTGCTGTGCTACTGTCAGCTGGTTAGCACCCAGGGATGGGTAGAGGTTTTGTGGCAGGGGGATAATCATCGGACTGCCCCCTTGTGTGAGCATTGTGTATTGCTGTAATGATGGCTGAGGGCTAGTCTGGGGGTCTGGCTGCTGGGGAATCCCAGGCTGTGGTTGCTCCGCATTGGGCAAAAGAGGCGCCGCCATCTGAGCTTCAGACTTCTGGTTTGTGGTTTCAACAGGCTGGTCTCGATGAGCAGCACTTCTCTGCAACAGCAGGAGAGGACGAACATTTGGACTGACCTTTAAAAGAAGATAACAAGTCCACTTATCAGAGCTCTGGAAGAATACAGTTATTAGAAAAATTAATGTAAGATATGGATATTTTTTACAGAAATAATGTAAAGGAACTTACCGGGACAGAGGTCACCATTATTGTGAGACATGAAAGCAGAAATAGGATGAACATTTCCAAGAAAAAACAAAAGTCACTATTCTTTAGAYTTCTTCTAAATATATTTAATGAAAGCTTTCAAGTAAAGTCTCTGTGGAGCACGCTGAATAAATTCAATGCATCTACGTGGATAGGAGCGTGGACTTATGCATTGGACATGGAGCCAAACAACCAATCACATCGCAGCAAGAAACAGACAAAATCTACCTAATTATCTTGTCTGATTGAAGCAGCAAGTTGGAAACCAAAGAAATTCGTCTGAATACTTTCAATTGCAGGTTTTTCCTCCAATTATGATGCTGTCATGTCTATAGAAAAGAATAAACAAACACACTCAGGCTTTTGGGTTTCCTCTTGCTCTGGGTGTGGCTGATGTGTCAGTGTCTACCWGCTGTATCATGAGAACCTATAGAATGTGCAAAAAGTTAGAAGAACTGGGAAAAATAGTTTCTCTAAAGTTTTTACAAGTAAAATTAYAGCTGACTGATGCAAATCAGGCAGTAAAGAAGTGTCTAAATTGTTGTGATACACAGAATGTTTCCATGCAAAAAGAGGAACTGGATCCTGTCAGCATGCAGGTAAATAAAAAAGGCACAAGAGGGCAGACAGCTAACTGTTTCTGTGCTTCCCTAAGAGCCACCTGTCTTATAAACGTAAAAAAAAAAATTAAAAGTTTGGTTATTCTTGAACAATATTTCAAATTAAAACATACACTATGAATTTATTTTTTTACATTTGTCACAACAATGTTTTTTTTCCTTATTCGCAAAAAGGTTTGGCATTGCAAGAAACAAAAGTAACCAGTACACACTACAACTACTTTAAATATTAGATCAAGTGTGTGTTTCTATATGATATTGAAATGTACATATTTTTGCAAAGGTGTTTCATATGTGAGCTGCAGAATGAAGTCATCAATAAATAAACATTTGTCTTTTAATTTTTTTCTGACTTATTCGTAAGTGGAGAATATATAATCAATTCTAAAACAAATATTTTTGGTGATCAAATACAAATGTGTAATTACATAAATAATAGCAATAATATTATTGAAATTACCAAAAATGAAGAGTATCTCTCTTTTTGACAATACTATAAAGCTAAATGTGAAAATTGTGTTTTCAGTCACCACATAAAATATTCTCATAGTACTATACAATTTATAATTATACATATACTTATTTTAATATTTTTTTTCTTTTTTAGGTCACTACTTGACTTTGATAAAATTTTGAACAAAACATTTATATCCACGAAGCTCTTTTTTAAAATTCAAATTTATTTTAGACACAGTAAGAACACAAACAAAGGACATCAGTGCACATTCAAAATAATAAAATAAAACTTTGCATCTTTAAAGACAAAATAAAGCAAACTTTAACAACCAAAAAAAGTGTTGACATTCATAATGAGTATATGTAGAAAGCATTGCTTTGCCACAAACAAATCACATCAAARACAGGGTGATTGATTACCTTAAGAAACAAGTTATTTTATTTTAATGCACACAAAGTCTAAGGAGCTGACAGTGCTGAGCAGTGAATAAAATTATTGGTCAAGAGGGTTTCTGGGAGACTCGGTACAACACTGATGAAGCACGGAGTCAGGTATTACCAGCTTACACTCAGCCCTTTTCTTTAAGCTGAGATGATCCAGGCTTGTTTATGTGTGAGTGGAAATTACACTGATGAGTCAGCACTCTCTCACTGATGTCTGCAGGACCAGCCTTCAACAGAACTCCTCATTACACTCTTAGTGCTTGTCTTGATTTTTACATGCTTCACTAAACATCATATATAATTAGTGCATTTTTACATTAATTTCACAGAAAAAAAAGTAGTACAGTGTGATATTGTGCTAATTCAAGTGAGTAGAATCAACATAGCAGAAATGAAATGATGAAAAGGCTGCTGAATCACCCCTGAATGGTGAATCTATATCAAGTAATACATTCATGTTATTTATAAGTTATATTTGATTTAGCCATGACTTTAAAATAGATTATAACAAAGGTGCATAAAAATGCAAGCATGTTTATGTCCTCCTTTAACATCCTCGTGGCATCAATCAGAATGACAGATTGACATTTTATTTATTGTCCCCTCTTGGGGAGGTGGTGGTCTGCAAGACTGTTGTGGGTGTTATTGTAGTGGTGGTTGTTGGTGTTGTTGTCGTGGTTGTTGGTGTAGTGGTAGTGGTTGTTGGTGTTGTTGTTGTGGTTGTTGGTTTAGTGGTAGTGGTTGTTGGTGTTGTCGTGGTTGTTAGTGTAGTGGTAGTGGTTGTTGGTGTTGTTGTTGTTGTTGTTCTAGTTGTTGTAGTTGTAGTAGTTGTAGTAGTTGTTGTCGTTGGAGCTGTAGGAAGAACAGGCGGTTTGATGCAGAGAAGCGGAAACATCTGACAGATGTTAAATGGGATCAATGGAGGACATGGTTTCCATCTCTAGGGCAAGACAAAATGAACACACACAACACAATTAAATTTTAAAAAAGTATAGAAGTACAGATAATATTATTTATTATTGTTGTYATTTTTGCTTTACTTGTGCTGCAGTTTACATGCAAATAAACTTGTACCTGATGACTATTAGATTCACTGCTAGAACTGCGCTTGTGACGGTCAAGGCAGAGCTGCAAAAGTCAAATACCATTGGTCATTTAAAGCAGAATTAAGTAAATAGGTAGATTGGTGATGGAGATACTGGTACTTACAGCTGTTTCAAAGTTGATCAAAAGAAAAATCRTTAGAAGAAAACCTGTCATCTTGGACTTCATGTTCTAATCTCCTGGTCGTTGGAAGAGCCTCTGGGTCACGGCAGAAGTAGAGCTTAATAATGAATAAAATATCAGGCTGTCTCACACGTTCGCTTCAGGAAGCTCAATTAGCTTTTAAACGGCTCCGGTGTGTTGACATTGCTCTCCCGCCTTACGAGTATTACTTCATCTCAGATGTGGTGTTCGCCTGCCTTAGACTAAACCAACAAAGGCGGGACTCAGTTTCGGTACTGGATTATGTTGGTTTTGTAACATTAAATGTCTACATCCTGTTATTAATCCTAACATGCATTTAAAAAATCAAATTCATAGATTGCTCAGTTGATCAAATTTTGACAAACCATCAGAAAGTCATTCAGAATATTTGCTGTTTATGACACAGTAACTTTGAACTATGTGCTGTCAGTCAACAAAGATTGATAAATGTTGAAAAGTTCCTAACTTGCGAAACAGTAATCTGTGTTGTCTAGAGCCGAATTTCTATCTGCAAAACAATACTTGCTCATTTCTTTCCAAAGCTTATAATCATCTTGTTTACCATGGTAAACTTACTGTAAGTTAYTTCCTCTAATAGAATTATTTAATTTTACACCATTATTACTGTCTGCTCTAAAGTAGTTGTCATTATTTAATTGTTACCTATCATAACCATGCTCCTTTAATTGGATTAAACATCTTTTAACATCATATTACATTCCGTTCAGCCCTACTGACATTCATCTAATCAAGAACTGCATGTCAGTCCAGTGTGTTTTTATGTTTGTTGTGTTATTTATGACTGCAAAGTGTTATATTTTATTACCAGGGCATTTTTTAACTTCAAACTTTTAGATTTTAGTGGTCATCAGTTTTTATTTGGAGGATTATTACTTGGATTATTTTTCTTGTGTAAGTGGTTGTTACGACTGAAACAAATTGTAGTAATAATACTGAGTCATAAAAATACAAATAAATGAATCTATTCGGGACTTAGACTTTGTCCAAGTAAACATGTTGCCATTTGAGGTAGTGATACAAAAGCAGGTTGAGAGGAAAGTAGGAGAGGCAGCAAACTAATTTTATTAGAATAAAAAATAAGGTAAGAGTGATGGAAACCAGAAACATCCATTTAAGCAGTTAAATGGGTAGTTTGGGCTTTTAATGGTGATCTTTGAAGTTGTTGTTATTCTCACATCACAAGTTTGGAATATATTTTATTTTACTGTATTTTATTTTATTTTATTTTATTTTATTTTATTTTATTTTATTTTATTTTATTTTATTTTATTTTATTTTATTTTATTTTATTTTATTTTATTTTATTTTATTTTATTTTATTTTATTTTGAAAAAAAGCTTGTGAGTTGAGTTGACACCAAGCAGAGTAAGGCAAATAACCTTTCTGCCATCTTAAGACACCATTTTGGAATTTAAAAATTGGGATTTATAATTAGTCAACCTCCTTTTCATAGCTATCCTTAATTCATTGAAAATATGATATGAAAATTGTTTTGTTAAGTTTCAAAATTGGTCAATAAATACAGAAAATGATACATTTCAAGTGGGTTGAAAACAGCTTTTAAAGTCTAAAAATATGAGATTGAAAAAGTCTGACATTTAAAATTATCCTTGTTTTGATTTAAGAAAATGTTTAGTGAAATGTAGGCATAATGATTGGAGAAACATTAGGATTTAAGATATAGGGTACTTTAAAATGAGTGGGGCAGCATGCCTCTTATCAAAAGGTCAGGATGGTGCTTACTGGGTGGATTTATAACAACATGCATGTTGGGGTAACTTGGGGTGCGAGAATGTGAATGGTTGTGTCTGCATATGAAAAAATGAAAATATTTTGCAAAGGTTTTTACATGTTTTGTTTAGAAAGTGAAATTCTTTACAAATAGACTGAAATACTTTAAGACATTTTTTTGTAATTTTATTGATCATAAATAATTAAAAACAAAGATTTAGTGTCTCAGAAAATTAGAATATTGCATAGCCAGTATATGTCCCGGTGTTGAATTGGAGATCTGTTCAGGGTGTACCCCGCCTCCTGACATTGTAATTGCTGGACATAAATAAAAAGAATGGATGTAATGAGTAGATGAAAAGGTTGTGTATGTCAACCAATGATTTCCTGGAAAACCTGTTGGAAAATCCCAGGCCATCAGCAAAACAAGTTGGTTTCATTAAAAACATGTACCACATTACAAAAGAGCACCAAAATGTATGTTGTATGAGTGTGTATCTGTTATCATTTAATATGTGACCTTTAAACAAAAGTTTTGTCAACAATAAGAAATATTCTTGCTTAAATCTTTGGTTTTAACATTTTTCATCAACACTGTTGGTTTATTAGCAAAATAACTCATGAGCCACTGGACACATTTTAAAGACATTCTTAGAATGCAAGCATGGACAGACCTCAATAATTAACTAACCTGTGGGAATCACCCCAAATCAAGATAGCCAACACAGCTTATCAAATTTAGCCAACACAGAACTGACTTTAACTTGGTCAATTTTACAAATACTCCTGAGCTGATGTAGTTGTAGCTGAGAGTAATCATCATTACGTTAACCTTGGATTATACTATTGACATCAACCCTTGATAATCTTCAAGAGCAAACAAATCATGTACTATATACAGTAATAATTTGCATTAAAATGAAGTGTAACATTATTTATAAGATGTGACCAAAATGACAATGACTGTCATTTCTCATCTTAAGATTTATTTTAGTCTAACCAAATAGCTGTGGATGATATGCATTCCTTCAAGGAATTATAGATCTTTTATTTTATTTTATTTTTATTTTTTTGTTTTTCCCTTAAGTCCATAAATAATCATATAAACTATTCAATATGATACTCTACTACAGTGTTTCCCAAGGTTGGGGTCGGGACCAAAGTGGGGTCCCGAAACATCAAGGTGGGGTCCTGAAAAGATTTTTGGAATTAATTACATTTTTGCCTTAGTTGTCACAAAGGAGTGAAGTTAGTGTATTTAAAATGGATAAATGTGGTATGAAAAATATTGTTACCATTAATATTAACTATTGTTTTGTTGACCTGATACAAATGTTTATCATCCAAAAATAGTTGGGGGCACAGGTCTCTGCTACTGTTATTTTGTGGGTCAAAAGCTGAAAAGTTTGGGAATCACTGCACTTTGGTTCCCAAAGTTGGGCTTGGGACCCAATAATGGGTCATGAAGCACCTTGGATAATCTCCAGAAATCAATTTAAAGGGCAACAAAATGATTACTGATGTAATATTTTCACCCCTAACTATTACAAAAACACAAAATAAGTATAAATAAGTATTTATATTTGTGTACTAGCTGTTTAGATTGTCAAAAAGCCTGTGTTTTTAATGTTATTAGCAAAGTTTGTGTACTCAGACCTGTAATATTTGGGGTCACAAGTTTTTGCCATGRATATTTTGTGGGTCAGAAGATAAAAAGTACTTCATGCACACAGACAGTACTTTTTTTACATTTCTGCTTTATTTAGGAGTACAGAGATCAAGGGCGTGTTGATAACATGTTTTCTGAAATTACAATGTGATTTTGTAATAATTGCAAATTCTCCATGGAAAGCTTCCAAGCTTTTGTTTTAGGGTTTAGCAGTTATTTAAGTAGTAGCTTTTAAAGTGGTAGTTGGTGCAGCTGTAGTGGTAGTGGTAGTTGGTGCAGCTGTAGTGGTAGTTGTAGCTGTGGTAGTGGTAGTTGGTGCAGCTGTAGTGGTAGTGGTAGCTGTGGTAGTGGTAGTAGGAGCTGTGGAAGTGGTCGTCGGAGAAGTGGAGGTGGTAGTTGCAGCTGTAGTAGTTGTGGCACTTGTAGTTGTTTTCTTGCAATGGCCATGACCATGACCAGGAGGACCTCGACCATGACCACGACCACGGCCCTTCAACAAAACCAGACACATGTATAACATATTCAACACAATATTTTTTATATATATTTTAAAATGTGCTGAACGTTACATCAAAGTAAAACAAGATGCTTACCCTGTGTTCGTAAGGTCCAGGTGGAGGTGAGCCTGCATCTTCTTGGCTTCCCAAGTCTTCATGCTACAAAAGAATCAACAAATACAAACAAAAACATAACTAGTTTACTGTATGACTTCTGAACTGAGTAAATATACTTAAGTCTTTGACAAAATAGTACTTACAGAATGAGCCAGAGCGATGCACACAAGGCATCCTAACAGAAACACTTCCTTGAACATGGCTTCACTGATCACCTGATCAATTAGAAAATACATCATTCACAATGATTATCAATAATATTTAAATACCATGTAAAAAGGTATGAACAAAATGTTTTTAACTTACAGTAACGTCTTCACAATCAGCCTTAGAGGTTGTTGAAAGGAATATGACAATGTTGTCCTGTGGCCCTTTTTATACTCATTCATATGGGTGGATTTAAGCTCCGTAGCATTTTGCATAATTGAGACGTTGCAATTATTAGGAAATCTTTGGCCACAATATTTCATGTGGGAAATGTGAGGAAACGGATAGGGCAATGATCAAGGAAATCTGACATTTCAATTACAACTAAATATAATATAGAAATTTTGACCACTTTAGGCGTGATGGGTGTACTTTTTTCTTTTTATTTAATTGACAAAACATAGAAAAGACTTGACATAAAAGTATTTTTGCAATCATTTTAAAAAGAATGGAAGTTGAGCTTCATTCTTAGGAATGTTCCTATGATGCAAATGTTTAAGCTCTGTAATTACTCTGTAACCGTCCTCATACCTTATAAAACACTTGGTGTTCATCATCATATTTCTCAAATCCAAAATGAAGAACTTTTCTGAGCAGCTGCCAAATTGTTAAAAATATTAATTGTTCTGCATAGAATAGAAGAAACAAATGCTTTTCTCAGATTTTAATGCAATCAGGAAAGGAATCAGAGGATGGTCACATCAAAATCCCTGTCTCTGAGGTGTTGCCCTGTGAGAAATACTTTGAAATATATTCAGATTGCTTTAATGCTTTAATCCTTTATTAGTGTTTTAATGTGAAACCAACAACACAAGTTTGTACAGACTGATGAATTTAATATATTCATTTTGTTCTCATCATCTGAAAGTATGTTTACTCTAAAGTTGTGATAAAACAAAAAAAACATTTTATTATTGAAGGGAAAAAAAACAACCATGTAGTTATTGGTGAAAGCAAGAATTATTTAAATTATTAACTCTGATATTGTCCAAAACATTTTCCTAAATGCTGACTGTCCAAAGTACCAACATTTTATGTTTTGTACTATTTCTAAACAGTCCTTTGACGTGTGGGAAGATGCATTCTCATTGCGAAAAATGAAGTCATCATCTTTCCTTTCAACTGATAAACTGTCAACATTTCTAACTAGATTTTGATATTTAATTAGATGTACTGTCACATTTGTGCCTTTACCTGAAATGACACTATTATCCAGTTACCACAGTGTAGATTGTGTGAAATGAGATGGAATCATGTGTTTGAATGAATAATCTACAAACATGCAAACAAAATATTGCAGCAAATCTCTGCTCAGTTTGGAAACATGAGGCGTGTTCACAATATGATTCATGCTCACAGGTTCAGCTTGTTGGGGCATAATAAGCCATGTTCAGAGGTAAAAAAAAAAAAGTGTAAAGTGAACCAATTTTATTCAGAGTAGGAATTCAGGTATAAAATCTTAACTTTGTAAAATAAATGACCACAATCTAACTTGCTGAAGTTTCTTTTCTGATAGATAGATAAACATTATGTATTGGGAATACAATAAATAAATAAAAATTGAAAATAAAACTTCAAGTGATATTTAATTTCTCATGTTGCTAATCTGATTTGAGTTTGTTTTAATTCCTCACTAAGAACCTTAACATAAAATGTAAAACAAATAGTTACAATAGAACAGAGACATTTCATGCTGTATTATAAGTGCATTTTGACTGAGTCACCATCAGTTTTTAAGACCTTCCTGAAACTGTCAGCTTGTTGAAAGAAACAAAAATCATGCATGTGTCTTTATTATGTATCATTTTGACCCAAGGGCAGCAGGATAATTAAAAAAGGTCCATGTCAACAAAATGTACAGTTCCTTTTGAATTTAGAGAAACATCCAGAGGTTTTTTTTGTTGAGTTGGTTCAAGCTGTCATGAATGTTCAGGAAAGTAATTCTAATATGGTGCTGTAAAATAAGTAGACAGTGACACCTAAATTTAAAATGACTCTGGTAGTTTGACACCTCATGATTGTATGCTTTGCCGAATCTAGATAAAAACAATGTAGTGGTCACCTCGAGGTGGAATAAACCGTTCCACCTGTCTTTGACCTTGATCTCAGAAGACTTCCTTCAGAGAGACAAAACTCTGTTCCATTTAAACTGAATTTAAGCCACGATGTGTTTTCTTAAACGTAGACATTTTCTTCTTCTTAATCAAGATAATCACCAACATAATAATGTTCTTTGTATTTTTTGATTTATATTTTCTTTTAACTAAAAGTTATCATTTCATAAATCAGAGTTCCTTTATAATAGCCATTAACAATGGAGTTGTGCGTTTTTATATCAAAAGAAAGAAGTCAGCTATTTTTTATAACTTTATTTGTCAGATTCCTCAGATAATGATGAATATCATTGATCATTTTTGATTAAATGATCCATATGGAAGAATCCTGTGGAACAGAAGGATTTAAATCTGAAATGAGATAAACATTTGGGCTAAATGTGACAACAGGATAAAAAAATAACAAAATTTAAAAAATGACTCGTGTCAAAAATCAAAACAGTACAACGATGATTTGCAGTTACCTCTTCATTTTCAGAACATTCCAGTGCTCATTTAACCAGAAAGAGTTTGTTGGATCAGAGCAGTAAGAAGTTGTTGAAACATCGTATTAGAAAGGCCAAAAAGGTTGTTGTATGAGTAGTACATCTGAAAATAAATCATCAAAGTTTTCAAACAGCAGAATATTACATTTTTTAAAGATCATGTGGATAACGGAAAAAAAAATATTTACCTCATTGGAACTAGAACGCTCAATTCGCTGGTGCTCCGTCTGCAGAAGGTTTGATAAGATCTGCTTTAAACTTTATTACAATAAAAACAATGATGTTAATTATATATTTTATGATGAAGTCACCTTTACAGGCAGAGCCATGGTGATGCTCAGAAGGCATCCAAGGACAAGTAWTGTCTTCAGCATGGTTTCAGTGATCTCACCTGATGGAACAAACACAATAACGGAGAATTTCTCAAAATAAATAAAACACATTCTTGCAAAATCTAAGATTAAAATTCATTTTTATTTGACTCAAGCTCTCACCGCTTCAGCAAGCTTTCTCCGAGACGAACGAAGAAGTTGCAAAGGTGCTCTCTGAATGCTGAAGTCCTCTTTTATACAGGTACAGGAGCAGAAATGTTGTGATTCTGTGGTCACTGAAAAAAAAATTACCTCTAAGTTTTAAGGTGTGTTTAACAACAAGAGTTTAAAGCAGTGCCACATGAATAAAGCTCCTTGATGACAGCCTGATTGTTTATTCTCGTGTGACTAAAGTGAATTAGGCAAAACTTGTTGAGTCCCATTTCATCACAAGGTGGTTTGTTGGAAGTGGACCACAGCTGCACGATCTGCATGTCACGTCACTAAAACAAATCTAACTACAAGTATAAATAAGTTAACCTAATCTAACGATTGTTTTAGGCATAATATTCAATACACGGAATGATGTCTGRAAGCAGTTTGTTCAAAATGTGCTGCTATACTTCCAACTGTCTGTCCTGAAACTGCTGATAAGCATCTAGTTTTGTGTATTGAATTGTTGCTTTTTGTTTCGATTCTTGATTTGTTTGCTATTTTTTATCCTCTTTTTTATTTTTTTATTATATAGTGTGCTGGTGAATGTTTAAATAAAATGTTTTTCTGGCTGTATCTTTATTTCAGATGACATTTCGTAATGTTGTTTGGTTTGTTTTTCATTTTAGCACATCCCCAACAGTTGCAAAACTCCCTGCAAATCCTGTTTTTAAATTTTGAGGTTTGTATGCCTTACAATAACACAATAACGACTACTTTTTGAATACATTTTAAAATTCTTCTGCTTGTTTTTAAGGTTTTAAACAACCTCGCCCCACCCTATTTAACAGAGCTTCTTCACCGTTACACCCCTCCTCGGTCACTCAGGTGTGCTGACCAGTTGCTCCTGGTCGTTCCCAGTTCCAAATGGAAACTCAGAGGAGATAGGGTCTTCTCTGTTAGTGTCCCTAAACTGTGGAACGCCTTGCCTTTGCATGTTCGACAGGTCCCTTCACTGTCCATTTTTAAAACTCACCTAAAAACTTATTTTTTCTCACAGGATTTCAACCCAAAAGAGATTTGATTTTACTCAACGTTTACTGCTGATTTTACTTATTTAACTGCGTGCTTTTATTGTGTTTTTGTATTGAGTTTTTATTTCATGTGTTCAGCACTTTGTTTCAGCTGTGGTTTGATGATGAATGATGATGATGATGATGATGATGATGATGATGAAGCAGATAGTCTCAGACAGACCTTTTTTATTGTTTAGACACATTTTCTGAAAGTATGCTTCATGTTCTCAAAATTCTATACACAAACCCAAAAATCACACACACACACACACACACACACACACACACACACACACACACACACACACACACACACACACTCAATGGACAAAAGGCCTCATTTCTACTGCAAAATGAACCTTCAAAGCCTTTACCTTAAAAACAATGTAATTTCTTCTCAAAATGGTATTTTGCTTTCAGATGACACTTTATATGAACACATATTTATAAGAACCAGTTGAATGCGGATGAGCTTAGTGTAAAACACTGTGACCTTTTTTTCTCACCTAATCATGACTTTAATTTTTTTTGTTCAGTTTTACACTCTCGTGCTATCAGCAGTTCATACAYAAGTGTGCTGCAAAATATTTTAGAACACACAAATACACAGTCACAAAACTATTTGCATAATTTTCCCCACAAAAACAATGTATACAGTGTACATCCTAACCAAAACAGAAGACTAAACTGTATACAGTAACAGCAAAACATACCATGGACCTGTTTCAAATTAAATAGACTATTTTATTTCATCAAGATCTGATTTAACAACAGTGTTCAGTTTTGAACACAGTTTGAACTACAGTATTTTGAGGCTGTAGTTTGGTTTTGCAGGAAGAGTCAGAGGTTCTGTGAAAGTACTTTGAACATTGGGTTTTGTGTTTACAGTTTAGATAAATGGATGGATGGTTTTAAGAAACGTGTTTTAGCAACTAAGAAAAACTGTACTGCAAGAAGCACTGAGGTTTTGTTTTAGAGCTGACTGTGTACTAGCATTTAGCATCACATGACCTTCAATGTGAGAGTTTGAGCAGTTTTTTTTACAACTTGTGTTTTAGCAAGACAAAATGTGTTTAGAGTTCGGAGAAAAAAGGATGGAGCTTTGTGAATTATGTCTTCATGTGGAATCTGTTTATAGTTTCGGCATATTGGGGGCTAGTTTAATTAAATGTGTTTAAAGAACTGGTCATTTGGTTTGGAGACTTGGGTTTTGTGTTTTAGCTACAGTGAAAAACTGTAAAAATACMACATCATAATTCATCCAATTTACATGTTTATAGAGAGCCAAGTCACAACAAACGTCATAGGGCACTGTACAAAAACCATCTAAAGAATTCAGCAGAATGAGTTGAAACTTCACATTGTCACAGTTACACTCTGAACTAAGTGTTTTAGGCTTTTTTGTTGTAGWGTAAATGTAATAATATTTAATTTTTGCAGCATATGAGCAACTGTTTCAGTGTTAAAGTTTGGGGTTTGAGAAGAGAATTTGAGCTTTTGTTCATGTAGCTTGAGAAAAGTGTTTTATGTTTATATCTAGGAAAACTGAGGAAGGTTACAGTATGTGTAATGTGTTTCAGCAATGCTGAAAATTTGTATAACAGACCGAAAGACTGCAAAAAATAATGCTTTTTTTTTCATTTTGTCACTGTCTTCCTGCACACAAAAAAAAGGCAAAATTAAAAGTGTAACTATTTCATTTAGGCAAATCTAAATCTTTTCACTTGGCTTCCTTTGTAATAAATAGTTAAG